TTTTGAAAGATTGTTTTCTTGGCAATAGCTAGAGAAATGAGGAGTGGGTTTTTGTATTTAATTGGTAGGTGGTCGATTTCTGATATTACCGAGGAAGCAAAGTGATGGAGAAGGAGGGATTCTACAGCCCAAGATGGTGGAGAGTTTCTCTGTCACTGCTGTCCAGAGGGAATGAACTGGTTGGCAGGTCCAAGTTTTAGATTCAACCGGTTCTTTTATCTGAAGGCCCCAAGAAGTAACACTCAGGAAACAGGAATCAGCTTTACATAGATTTATTTTCTTCTGGTTAAATGCAGAGTTATTACAGCACTGGGCTCCATGAGATGACAAGTCCCAAGAGCCTAGATAATTAAAAATCATTCATATTTATCTTCTCGGGCTGGGACTGCCCTGTACATGGGTGGAACGTTTCACTAAATATTCTAGAATGTTCACTCTGTCCCACTACGTGGGGCGCACGGCAGCTGTCCGGCAGACTCAACAGCTGTTGCATTACAGAGGCCGCTCTCTTGGGCAGCCTCTGACAAAACAACGGCTATCCCACTGGCTGTGTGAAGCTATTACACAGGCTTACGGGTAGGATTACAGAGGATTTATGTTTTTTATTGAGATCTCAATATTTTATTTGTTACTTTTAAATTAATTTTTTTGGATCGAACATGATACCACACACCTGATACCATACAATCGACGCATCAAACAGAATAAAAGTGACTGAACTGCATCTTATTAGGACAATCTTTTTTGGGAATATTGTTCTTTTCTTGTTCAGGCCCAGGTCTGTTTGGGAAGTGTAAGGGTCTTGTTGTTTGAATGATACTTGCCAAGTTTTTTTTTCTGAAATACATTTTATTTTTTTATAAGTACGTGAGTGTGTGCCTTATTGGGGATGGAGGTTTCTTCTGTGCAGAGTGCCATCACCAAGCACCTTGTGAACCCAAGATAACTGTACCCTATTGTGTAGATATAGACATTCATTCTGGTTCCCAATCATCAGAGTAATAGATATTTAGAGAGCATTTGACTGCTAAATTTAGAAGGGTGACAGCAGAGAGATAGGGACTCACATACATTAGTGAGTAGTGATTCCTCATTTGTTACATTAAGGTGCATTACCGCCTCCTGCTGGGCTTAGGGAGCAGTCAATTTTCATAGAAGAAGAATGGCAGGAAAACGAGGAATGAGATTTATAGTATCATTCAACAACAAGACCCTTACGCTTCCCAAACAGACCTGGGCCTGTTAGGACAAAACCGGTCCTTGCATGTTCTTTTATGAAGAATGGCCAAAGACAAATCTTAATATTCAACTTGTAAAGCAGCTGTTTAACTGTGACGGAGCTCTATTGTCATATGAGCACTTCATAGCTAAGTACAGGTAGGGTTCCTGTCTCCCATCATGAGTAGAACACTGTTATTAATGCACTTCCGTCTGGCATTCTCTGTTTAGCACGCTCCTTCTCAAACACACACAACTCTATCAATTTAGATATTGTTGTTAATGGCACTTCTATCTTTGATAAAAGATTCAACAACGTCTTTATAAGAAACTCCCTCATTCCAAGAACAACAACAGCTGTTAAACATAAATGGCCATGCCAGACTCTTGATGGGAGAACATGGAACGCTGTTTTTACTTTGCCCTACAAATTTGTCTTGTCCAACAAAGCTAAAGAACTTTCCTTTAAATTCTTACATAAATTTTACCCAGTAAACTCCATTATTTGTAAATACATTCCAAACATAGAAGAAAAATGCTCTTTTTGCAACAGTGAGCTAGAAACTCTAGAGCATTTTTTCCCAATGTGCACATATGACAGCTCTGTTCATTATTTTGGCCAAAATGAAATTTCTGAAAAAAAAAATCACCATGCTTTTCAACTTTTAAACAATCTGATCTTTTAACAATTACTTCCAAACACTGTTACATTTAAACCACCCTAACAAAAAACGAACCAAAACCACTTACCTCCTTAAACATTTTAATTTTATATCTTTACCTTTACCTCTTTGTATTTTATATATTGTTTTTTCTTTTCTTTGTTCTCACTTGGTTCTGCTATTCATTTTCACTTTGTTATATTATGCCTACTTTTGTCCTGTTGTCCTCTTAATGCACGCTGCTATACATCTGTTGCAACAATTTGTGCTGAATATATTTTGTATTGATCTGCATTGTTGCTATATAAAGACAAAAAAAAGATTTATAGTAGTAGGTAGGGGCCGTTCTGATTCACACTCCAGTCTAGGTGGCGGTAATGCACCTCAAGCTGTTTGCCACCCGCCATTACACAATAAAGGAAGAAGAACAACAAGCGAAAGTAACAGAAGAAGAAATAATGCCGTGTTGTTAGCATCGCTTAGCGAGTCATGCTAACTTTGAATGACATTATATCTTGATTTCAACTAGCTGGTAAAGTGTTATAACTTTGTCATGTTTTTTTTTAATCGCAAATGTATTGTCTATTTTACCATGGACTATCTAATTTAAGTTGCAGATGCGAAATGCATGCCTGCAAGTAAGCTACATTGTAAATGAAAGCTAACGGTCTCCTTCAACTCAATCTGACAGTTTACTCAATAATAGGTTAATTTTGTAAATATTTTGAGATTTATGCTGCTATGTAGCACTGCAGACTGCCTGTCCTTTCTTCAGTGTTTATATCCCCGTGGCCGTTTCAATGGGGAAAAGGAAAGACATGATTCACCCCAGGTTTCTCGGTGAGTAACGTATACAAAGTTATTGGCCTTTTATTAATACATTTTAGGAAGTCATAGTTATGTTTTCTTGCTCTGATTAAATGCATACTCAATTTCTAGGTTGCGGGATACATCATACAGTCTCCAAAAAGTTAAATCAACACATCTGTTGTGTTATTAATTATAGTAGTTTATTATACTAACGACCTATTCTGATCGTAGTGCATAGTGTTCATTGCAAAAGCTGATATTTGTTTTGTGTTTCACTGTATCATATCCTGTACATCGTATTGGTTGACATGGTGCACCTGTAGGAAATGGCACAGGGTGAAATGCTTAGCATGTTTCGCCATTTTGGCTTGAAATGAAGCATCATTTAATATTTCATTCATACTTGTTGTGTTTGTGCTTTCCTTGTGTCCCCTGCAGGTGAAGGCAGCTCCAGCATGCACAGCATTCACAAGCGGAAACACAAAAAACACAAGAAGCACAAGAGGAAGCACCACAGCTTCGCCGAGGTCCCCGAGCCGGTCGTGGTTCCTCGGCCTCATCCACAACTCAGACTCAAGATAAAACTGGGGGGACAAACGCTGGGGACCAAGAGGTGAGCTGGGATGTCAGAGATGGATGGTTTGTCTGTGTTAATGGTTTGTCAGTGTGACCAGTACACTTAATGGCCTGTATCCCTGTTGGCTGTTCCAGTGTTCCCACCTTCACCGTTCATCCTGGTGTGGCCTGTCCTCCCTCACCCCTGATGATTATTGATAACAATGTTGATGATGAAGAAGATGAAGATGAGGATGAGGAAGAGGATGATGACGATGAGCCATCTGTGCCTCTGGAACAGTATCGGGCATGGCTGGGTAAGTTACAGGTAGAGACAGTAGATATTACTGCATTATTGACTGTATATCCTGTTGTGGCAGTATTTTTTCTTTCTTGACTTGGAGGCTGCATTAAAATGTAGGTGAAATTTATCATCACATTATTAATGATTTATTTTTCACATCATCCACCATTAACCTGATGTTCACTGTGTAACACTAAAGTGAGTCAGCTGGATTGATTCATTTCATACTGTGTGGCAGTGTTTCCAAACCTTGGGATCTGGACATCACATGGGTCAATCAGAGGGGATCACAGTATGATCTAAAGGCACAAGAACACAAAATATATCTTTTTTTTCTTGTGAAATACTGGATAAATTAAATGTTTTTCCTTGGGCATCAAGACGAGCATATTCCACTAAATGATGAAATGTATAATCAATGAAAATAATCTGGCTGCGTAACTTCTAATTTTGGAGTTCAAACTTGCAAACACACTGGTTTGGTCTTTTCTTATGTGTTTCTAGGTCTTTTACAAATGGCAGACAAAAATAAATGTGAAAGGAGAGGTTAAACCATAAAATGTGTTTTTTGTTCTATCCTAGTCAAAAATAAGAGACTTGTTCTGGTCTTCTTTTGTTTATCAGATGAAGACAGCAACCTGGCCACATCCCCTCTGCCAGACATGGACTCAGACTCCATGCTCGGGGGGCCTGTGGACGAGGAGGAGAGGTGGCTGGATGCTCTGGAGAGGGGAGAGCTCGATGACAATGGAGAACTGAAGAAGGAGATCGACGAGTCTCTGCTCACAGCCAGACAGGTGAGGAAGACAGACACAAGTAGGAAAGAGAAGTACTTCAGTCCCCTATTTATCAGAAATTCCTCAACACAGCTGTAAATATTAACCCCGAGTGCTTTTTCTGTTGTTGTTCAGAAAGCTCTGCTACACAAGCAGCAGAGCCAGCCTCTCCTGGAGCTCCCCATGGGCTATAAAGAGAAGGAGATGACCGCAGAGATGATGCAGAAACGAGAGGAACGAGCCCGAAAGAGACGCCTGCAGGCCGCCAAGAAGGCCGAGGAGAACAAGAACCAGACAATAGAGAGACTGACAAAGACCAGCAAGGCCAAGATAAAAAGCATGAAAGAGAAGAAGTCCAAGCAGAGCCAAAGTCTCATGGTCCGGTACAGCGACTCCGCCCAGGGCATGGTCATCTCTTTCCCCACAGGGGTCCCAGCTCCGACCCCAGCACCTCGCCGTCCTTCACCTCCTGCGCCTGTGATCTGCGGAGTCAGCGGCTGCACCAACCTCAAGAAGTACGCCTGCTCAAAGACCGGGCTTCCTCTCTGCAGCCTAGAGTGTTACAAGAGGAACCTGCTGTTGGTTCAGAGCACAGCTTGAACTGGGAACGGAGATGCAGATACTGGAAGTATCATTTCGACATTAGGCTTCAAACATCAATATTTTCAGGAGTCAGAATCAGTGTGCATTTAATTTTTATCTACTCAGCTGTTTTGTATGTAGATGTGTCAGACTAATAATGATGGCTGTCTCTGTGATGTACATTGTCAAAATCTGTGTACGGTCCAACATTAATCATTATCTGTGACTTTCATTTGTGAAATATGTTTGTTGAGAACTACATAAAAACCATATTTTTGTACAGATTTTGAGACAATGCTGTTTCCACTAGCTTGGACTTCATTTTGTCAGCAATGTAAAAATTATGTTTTGACACTGATGTAAACAAATTTTTTTTTTTGAAAGAATAAGAGAAACTGTATTGCCTTTTAAATCTGCATTCATTTTTGTAACAAATGATCCCATTTCCATACAAAACTATAAAAACTTATTTAAATTAACAAATGAAAATCCTTTCCAACACTGTATACAGTCTGTGAATATATCAATAAAACTATATTTTCTCTGTCAACATGCAGATGCCTGCAGCAGCGTAACTGTAGTGGGTCTACTTTGTTTGCTTATCATTATAAGGCCACACTCACACTTTGCTGTTATCTGAAGAAAATCATCTCTACACAGTCTGATTTTTACAATATGCTTCCATTTTAGCCTTTTAGATTATCCGCCAGAAACTGGGACAGTTAGCATAACCTCCACGCATTTGCTCTCAGATGCATCCCACAGTCACCACAGTTTGAGCTAATTTCCTGAGAATGCAAGAAGTCTTCTAGTTTGCCATTAGTTTAAAGAGTGCTGACATGTCACACAGCCAAACCGAAGGAGAGTCTGAAGGCCATCTCTACAGGAACCTCTGCCACCGAGTCATGGAAACACACGTAGAATTCCTGAGGGACGGGCTCAAGCAACATCCGCCTGAAAGGCAAAGACAGAATGAGATTGGGATAAAAACAAATCACTCAGCAAAGAATGGTGCAGTCATGTTATTTCAAAAAATAGCTTCAGATGGAGGTAAATTGGACAAAAACATTCAAAAACCTGTGCTGCCCCAGTTTCATACTACATATTAATTCAGCGTATTGTACAGTATATCATGTACTAATCTCTATAGTAAATATTTTTGCAGATAGTATAGAAGAAGTCATCATACTTAACTCTTACGCTAACAGGAAATGATACTTGTGCCACTGACTGACAATCAGCCTCTGCCAATTCAACTCCATCAAGAGAAAGCTATCGTTTCTACTAAAAATCTGAAGTTGTTGTTTGTGAAGCTCACCTCCATCCACAATTGGTTAGAAATTTCTCTGGCTATAAACAGCCCCTCGCTTTACTTTGTGTGATGCATTTGGCTTGTGTGGCTTGTGGACAAAAGAATCATCACAGGGGAAGTCAGCTTACCCTATGACCCAGTAAGTCATGGTGGGAGCAGGCTTCTTCTGGTCAGTCCAGTTCTCAGGTTTACACTGGAACAGAACCCCATGTTCCTTCACAGGGCCCAGACCCCACGCACCACCCTGAGGCCTGTCTGCTGCCCGACGAGCCTGCAGCAAAGAAGACCACACCAATAATCAACTCGATTCTTTAACCACGTTAATGCACAACAAGTTAGCGTCCCTAGGAGACAGAAGAGCTAAAATGAAGGCAACAGCAACCAAAACATAAATGCACACACCGGCTGTTGTGTAGGAGTGTTTACTCTCTTTAGAAAGGTTGAATCGTGACTGTTTAGAGCCCATGCTATGATGGCAGACCACCACTATTTAGTCATGGTACTACAAAGTTGTGGTGTTAGTTTAAACCCAATCTCAACCACATTCTGAGTCTCAGTCTTGATCTGGAATAAACAGAATCTCATCTTGACACCTCTTCTTATTATCCTTTGCTACTTTAGGATGAACCATGGTCTGAGGTTGAGACTACATTCCTGAGTAACATGGCACTCACCCTGGCTGGCAGGCTCTGCTGAAACGCAGCCCGTATGGAGAGGCAACAGTGGTGGAAGTTGCGGATGAGCTGTGGGTGAATGGAGCCGCTGAGCTGAGCCACTTCCCTATGAGTAGGAGCGATGAAGATTCCCTGAACTGTTTCCATCAAGATGTAGTGGAACAAAGTGTTCTCTGCACCTGAAGTCAGTCTGCCACAAGCACAAGACAGAAACAAACAGAGGGCTGATGATTATATAACTTGTTGGGGTTTTACAGGTTTTAACCAATAGAAATTATACATATATACAATTGGAATGAATGAAAACAATTATTCCCATCATTTACTTTATAGTGGCATACATCTCCTCTGTCTCCCTCTCAGTCAGGGTCTTCTTTAGGGTGCCCAGGTAGAATGGATTCGGGTGCTTCATCCTGGGAATCTGGTGATAAGGCATACACCACAGGTGCGCGAGAACATTACAAGGAATATGATACCGTTAAGTGCACGGTCGAATACAATCTGTTGTTTTCACAGATCAAATCTATTGCAAGAGCAACATAATACTAAATCCTGTTTAACTTGTAAATTATTTTTTATAAATTTAACATCTGTGATGATGCCCTGTGTTTTATGTCCCCAACATCATGTTCTTCGCCCACACCCACACACACACACACACACACACACACACACACACTCCACCCCGACTTTTAAATACCGGAGTGTTGCAATAAAATATGCGACCCTCTTCCAAGGCCACACAACTGCACTTTTATGTCATTTTTAATAACAATAAATGTTTAGAATTTTTATATACATCTAGTTCACATCAAAATAAGTAATAAAAATAAACTAGAAATTAAAAAATGAAAATAAAACAGAAATTTAAAGTTGAATTAGCTTGAAAATATGAAGCTTAAATATTTGTCATATTAATGAATGATTATCAGTGGTTTGCACAAATTGCCTGTTTGACAGTTTATAGTGTTAAACAAAGAAGCAACAGAAATCTACCAAACAAGTTCCTTGACAGACTTAATAAAAGGTTACAGCTGTACCTTGAACAGGCTTCCTCTGCCTCCACTCCCATCAGACCCTCCAGAACCCAACGAGTCCCGACGCCCCCCCAGCTTCCTTGTTGAGTCCACTGATGATCCAGACCCATCCATATGTCCCTCACTCCCACTGTCTGACAGGCTCCTCTGGGGGCTGGACCTCCGGGACTTATCCCCAAACAGGCTGTGGCCTTTGGACCCAGATGAGGAGCCTTTAACTGCTCCGGCTAGCTTGCTAAAGACAGGGGAGGAAGAGGCCAGACTGCTGAGGCGGTCACGGGCTGTGGCGGCAGGGAGGAACCAGTCGGCACAGGACAGGCAGGGAGTTGGTGGAGTGTTCAGACGCTCCTCAATACCTGCCTCTAACACCTCCAACTGCAGGAGGGTGGCCTTCACCTGCCCACAGAATGTAAGAAAGTCTCAGTTTATACTCCAGAGAGCAACAGATTTGGTTATTTATGTTTCCCTTGGTTTGAAAATTAATCAAACTACAACACAAATAAAATAGGAAGTAGTCATTTTTGTTCATATAGATGAGTAAAATGCATGCACATTATGGAAGGAATTCACAAATGAGCTCAACAAGTTTCACCTGATCCACATAAACACAATCAGGTCCTGGAGAGCCCAAAGCTGGTGAAGCACAGCCTCCTGCTTCTAACAGTACACACTGCATGAAGTGCCTCTGAGGTGGAGAGAAGAAGAAATAGAAACAATCGAACCAGTAATAAACAGGCTAGGAGATGGCACACAACAAAAGATTAAGGATAGCGTATAGAAGACAAGACAAAGAGGTGGTGAAGGGGGGTGGTTTTCCAGTGACGTGCGGTCAGGGGAGGCAGGTGAGGCAGAGCCTCCCCTGTCAATCTTGAAAAGAAAAAAAAAGTTAACCATAAAATATAATAACTGT